TCTTCCTAAGGAGTGACCAAAGTCTTCTAAGAAGGAAGAATGCATGAGCAGAATATCTTATGCTTTGGCAAAGGTAGACTCATGCATATCATGTTGGGCGTTAAACCTGACATCTGTCACGCAGTGGGAGTAGTGAGATAGTACCATTTTGAACCTAGAGGAATACTAGATTATTGTTAAGCATGTACTCAAGTATCTTTGGAGAACGAGAGATTATATGCTGGTATATTCTAGTGGGAGTCTTGAAAAGATGGGTTTTCAAAAATTCAGTTATTTCAAGTGGATATTGACTCAAGAAAATCAACCTCGAGTTATGAGTTTTTCACTAAACTCAGATAGCATTAGAGGTGGATCTTGCAGACCCAGTTACTAAGAGTTTGCCTGAACTTGTGTTCGAGAGGCATGTTACTTCTTTGGGTCTTAGGAGTATCCCAGACTTGCATTAAGCAAGTGAGAGTTATTGGTTTCATTGTGCTCTTGGAGTAAGACGATGAAACAATAAAATAATTTTCTGAATTTCATAAATAAGGTTTTATTTATTTATTTTGCGCACTATTTACAAACATAAAGGTCCAGATCAAATTGTGGAGTATATGGTCATATGGATACGTTCATGGAGGACATGATCATAGGTTCTCACAATTGATGAATGGAGTCACAGCCGTTAAATAAAGTTGGACACTTTATTCAGGCTGCAATATTTTATGAAATAATTTTGTTTGAATCATTGTAAAATATTGGTGTGAATTAACATTCACATTGAAAGGATCAAGGAGAGATTTGATTAAGGTTGTTTTTCTGTCATAAGGTATCAAATCTCCAGTTAACTATAGTTATGTGATTGCTCTTAATCCTGAGCTTATTATAAATAGGTAATCAAATAGTTTTCATTCTTTGATTTACCAACGGGTGAGGTTCGATCTATTGACGGCCAATAACTCGGTATTTTGGGAGTGAGATTATTTGATTATCGGTATTTATGAGATAAACAACATGTAATTTGTAGGATATGTCCCCTTGATATGTTTCAGTACTTGGATATTAAAGACACTGGCCAGTGCATGTAATCCATTAGAGAAACTATCATAGTCAAGGGAATAAATAATTGATTGAGTTACAGAAAACTTGTCAATCAATTATAGACATTCTACAAAGGGGCGATGCATATTCATGTTATAAGTGTTGTTAATCTTGGAGTTCAAGTTCGGGCTTTTAGTGGAGTAGCACCGAATTAAATAATCATTCGTTGATTATCAGGAGCCTTGATTAATAGCAGATGGTAGATCCCCAGGCTAGCTTGAGAAGAGGGACGGGTTGTATAATCAGATGATGGTGGCTTATGGGCTACATAGTCTTAGTTTATGAACTCAAGTTTGTGTCCAAAAGAGAAAGTGGGAGATTGTTGGGTTTAATATGCTCTTTTCAATTAAGCCCAATAGCTTTAGTGAGAGTGAGCTCAAAAGACTAATTTCAACCCATGAAGCTTTGGGTTAGTCTGAGATTGGGCAGAGTATATAAACTCTCTTTTCTCTCTAGTGCCTCCGAGGGTTACAGACATCAGAAACACAAAGAGGCAGACATTCATCATCTGAACGGTTGCCCACACGACCACCTGATCCCCCTTGAGTCATAGCCTGGAAGATCAACCGTAGAGCGGAATTGCGACCGTTCGTGGTGCGTTGTTGCAGATCGTGAGGCTTGAGGAGGAGAACAGAACGTGAGAAATTGTCACGCTCGCTGCTTCATCTCAGGTAATCAAAGCGGTGTTCTTCATTCCTCATCACATCGGTACGATGCGCTTCCGCGTTTCTGATGATATACCTTCAGATGTCTATTAAGATTTGGAGCTAATAAGATTTATGTAAAAAAAAAAAAGAAGAGACAAAACAATGAGCTAGGATTTAATTTTTAAGCTTTAATTACACAGGTAGGTTGGGTTAGGCCTATCTTTACCTTTTTTTTTCAATCATCCTACTTCTTTTTTTTCTTTTTCTTTTTTACTTGACTTGAATCACACACCCCATGTAAAAAAAAATTCCCCCAACTTTGTGTCTGCAAGTGCAGACAACTGCAACCACCTGCGTCCATCATTGATTGTAGGATTAGGAATTTGAAGTAATTGTTGGAGATTTTGGTTTAGCAAAGTTTATGGATTACAACGATACTTATATTACCACTACTGTATGTGATACCATTGCACATATAACACCAGAGTAGGTATTCAGTTTATGGAAAATATGCCATTAGTACTTGCATTAAACTACTGTATCAGAAAATACTCAGTGCCCAATTATTGTCGACAATGATTTTATTCTTTTGTAAACAATGTTGTCAGTGGGTTATGCTAGATTTATGTTATGCTTTTTTTTGTTAAGATACATCATATGTTTTTATTGTATGGGTTATTGTTGTTCAACAAACAAATTTTATGCTTTTCAAAAAATCGAAAACTGATCCAATCCAAACCGAAAAAAATTGGATCGGATTTGAAAAAAAAATACAAACCGAATGGATGCTTACATGATCAAACCGAAGCAATTGAATTGGATGATTTTTGCTTCCAAAACCGATCCAATCCAGACCATGATCACCCCTGATGGGTGAACCTAGTGGACACAAACTCTTTTCATGGTATTTGGTTAGGTTCCCTCTCTAACTTATTTATAATGGTATTAAGTCCCATAAGTCATTATGCTCTCATCGCATTGAGGCTGCCACTTTCGGAATAGGTCATAGAGATGAAGATCTTGGCATGTAGTTCCCCTTTCCTCCGACTTTGTGACAACCTGATGAGTCTCCAATTTACTATGTATTAAGAGTCAATATGAGCATGAAATTGATTTAAAAGTAATTAAAAGTTATGAGAATTATAATTAAATTGTTATTTTATTCTCAATAATATTCTCATAAGATTTCTCATATTTTGCAGTAAATTTCAGCTCAATAAAGATAAATTGGAGAGATCAAATAGAGTTGCTTTGGATTTCTAAATCATTCGAGATCTTATCAAATCTTCGTTTGAATATTTTTAAGGAAAGTTTTTCATTAAATAAAAAGGGAAAGATTTGAAAGATTGGATCAAAGATATGATTAGAGATTTTAGTGAAGATTCCATTGAAGATATGATAGAAAATTAAAAGATATGATTTTCATCCCTATAAAAAGGCATATCTTGGAAACTCAAAGGGACAATTCTACAGAGGCAACAATATTCAGAGGAGGAGACTCACGCTGGAGATCAGGATTCTGAAGAATTTGAAGATTGAAGACCATTGATCTTTCTTCTTCATCTTTTTCTTTTCTTTCTTTGTTATAAATTCTTTTTACTATTTTAATTTGTTAAAGTCAGCTATGTCTGGCTAATTTATTTTTGTAGTTGGGATCACAGACTCAATGTGAATTCTTTATATTTCCTGTATTGTTTTTATAAGTTAATTATTTTAGTTAGTTTTATTCTGCATGTGTTAATTTTTCTATATCCTTATTAGAAACTGATCACTCTAATTATAGGGCTTTGAGGGTTAGGACTCGCAATAGACATATTAAGGTTTTAATCTGGACAAGAGTAGAATAATAATTTGTGCATGACCTAGACATAGGCTTACATAGATTGCAGACTTTTAATTCACTTGCTTAATGCTTGATTCAAGAGGAATTACTAGGACACTAGGATTCTAATTGGGTTAAAAGGTTGAAATCACTAAGACGTTAGGGTTCAATTATTTTATAGGAAAATAATGAATTGTCTGAATAAACAAATTAGTTAATTATAAAATACAATATAAGAATATAAGGGAGGATCGGAGGTGAAGTGTATCATGGCTGCAGTCTTTTTACAATATTTAATTAATCTCATAATTTCTGTGACGTTCTTGATCTTTTCTTGCATGCGTTTTAATATTATTATTTTTAAAATTCTGTTTTTAAAAATTACAACAACCAATCACATTCACAGTCAAACCTGAATTCTTTTCTTTCAATTAAAAAGGGAATAGTTAAAATTAATCATTGGTTCATTAATCCTCTCGAGGGAACAATATCTTACTTATCACTTTTATTACTTGAAACGAACGGTATACTTGCCGATTTTGCAACCCAACCCAGCAAGGTACGCATAATCCCTACTTTAACTTCATATTATTTGGATATTTTATAATCATATTCATGATCTGGAATTTTAAATCTATCATTTGGTATATGAGCTATATGTGTATATGATTATAGAATGTTGAATAGAATCAAAGAAATTGGAATTTGTTTTATTTTATTTATAAAGGTTGAAACTTTATGCATTAGTTCATCAACTTGTTTAATTGAATTGAAAATCTAAGGGTTCTTGTTCTACAAGTCATTACCAAAAAAAATGATTTTTTGATCATTCCACTTTGTTTACCTTGTTCGTATATCTAAATTTTATTTCTGCCATGGTATGCCAACATAGTCAAATATAAAGCTTTTATGCAAGAATTGTAGCATCTAACGAAAAGGTGTCTGCACCACTGCCAACAAATTGTTTAATTAAAATAAGTATATTATTAATAAAAAAAAATTGGTTTTGTTTCACCATATTAGCTTGCGTGAACATATTGACAACATCCATTTCTCATATTGTGGATCCAGTCCATCATGAATCAAGCCCAAGTTCGGGTCCAAGTTCAGGCCCATCATGAAGCACAGCATCAGGACTCAGTTACTTTAGTTTTCTGTTCAGTAGCTCATTGTACAGTTAGTTCAACTAACTTATGTACGTGTGCATTAACTTCGATCTGTTAGTTTGTTAGTGAGTAAGTTAATTAGTTGTAACTATTTTTAGTTAGCTTAGTTAGTTGAGTCAGCTTACTTTCCTTTCTTAGGTTTCTATATAAAAGCCACACTTGGCTTGTATTGTACACACTTTTTCACTTTTACTCAATATATTCAAGAAATTATTTCACATGGTATCAGAGCTTTGCTCTGGTACCCCACTCTTCCGCTACAAATTTTCAATCTCTGATTGAACAATGGCAAATCAAGAAGGACTTCTAGATTTTCTTACAAACCCTGCAAATTCGTTTTTTCTTCATCCTAATGAAAGCCATGCGTTGGTATTAGTGAATCTGATTCTTGATGGAAAGAACTACCACAATTGGGCGCGAACAATGAGTATGGCGTTGCTATCAAAGAACAAGCTGGGATTCATAGATGGATCCATTCAAGCTCCACCTGATGCAGATCCTACATTCAGTGCTTGGAGACGGTGTAATACGATTGTGCTTGCCTGGATTCACCGTTCTATTAGTGAATCGATTGCAAAATCCATTCTATGGATAGATAAGGCTCGTGATGCCTGGATTGACCTCCAAGATAGGTTCTCTCAATCGGATATCTTTCGTGTTTCTGATTTGCAAGAGGACATTTACAAGATGCAACAAGGAGAACGCTCAGTTACTGATTTTTTTACAGATATTAAGAGTATGTGGGATGAGCTCGATAATTTGAAGCCTCTCCCCAATTGTAGATGTGCTGCTCCATGTCAATGTGGAGGATATCAGCTGACGAGAAACCACAGAGAGCGAGATCACATCATAAGGTTCTTAAAAGGTCTGAACGAACAGTATTCTCACGTTCGCTCTCAGATTATGTTAATTGATCCTTTACCGAATGTGAATCGTGTATTTTCGATGGTGGTTCAACAAGAAAGACAGATGTTAGGAGAAGGACAGAATGTTGCTGTCAATGAATCAAAAATGTTTGCTAGTAACAGCAATACTGTGGCTGATATGAATGCACGAAGAAGTGGCTTTCTAAGTAGAGGAAGAGGCCGTGGCAACTGTGGCCAAGGAAGAGGCTATACCAAGATCTGTACATTCTGTGGGAGACAGAATCATACAGTGGACACTTGTTATCGTAAACATGGCTTTCCTCCAGGATTTAAGCCAAGAAATGCTGCTAACTGTGTATCGATGAATGATGTAGCTGATACTTCAGCACAAGACCAAGAAGAAATGAAGGACTTGGTTTCCATGACACACAAGCAATATGATTGATTGCTTAATGCTTTACACTCATCAAAGATCAACACAGAAATTCCTACATCTTCAACCAATATGATCCAGACTTCAGTCCTGAATGCTACTTCCAATTATACATCAGGTAACAGATCTGTTATGTGGTTCCTGGATACAGGAGCCACAGATCATGTGTGCTTCGTTCGTTCTACTTTTGTGAATCTCCAAAGGATTGATCCAATCTCCATTTCCCTCCCTGATGGTTCACGAAATTTAGCCTTATTCTCTGGAACAATACACATTTCTTCTCATTTGAATTTAGTCAATGTTCTTTATGTGCCAAGTTTTCGAGTTAACCTGATTTCTGTTGCAAAGCTTACGAAGAATGTACCATGTTATCTAATCTTTTGTAATTCTTCTTGTGTCATAAAACAGATCCAAACCAGAGCGACGATTGGTTCAGCTGAAGCAATGGATGGACTATATGTGATAAAGACCTCTTCCCCACAACCTTTCATCCAAAATAAGCCCAATAAAGAACCTGCAGAATGGACTCTCAGCACCTGCAGATCTGAAGTTTTTAGTTGCAATAAGCCTGTTCCTAGTTCTATTGATGTTTCCTTATTATGGCATCTTAGACTAGGCCATATTTCTTCCAATTTATTGAAAGAAATGTCAGTGCAATTGCCTTTCATTCCAAATGTACACATCTCTCCTTGTGATGCCTGTCAGTACGCAAAACAAAGACGTTTATCATTTCCCATAAGCAATAGCAATACAAAGCAGTTTTTTGACTTATTGCATGTAGATATATGGGGTCCCTATATGGTACCGTCTGTGCATGGCCATAAGTATTTTTTAACACTGGTGGATGACTACACCCGATATACATGGGTAATCCCTATGAAAACCAAGAGTGAAACTCCTAATTGCCTTTGAAATTTCATCATTCTCATGGAGAATCAATTCAACTCTTCCCTTAAGGTCATTAGGAGTGATAATGGACCTGAGTTTTACATGGAAAATTTCTATCAATCTAAGGGTATATTACATCAAAGGAGTTGTGTAGAGACTCCTCAGCAGAATGGTATTGTTGAAAGGAAGCATCAACATTTACTTAACATAGCAAGAACCCTCATGTTTCAAAGCAAAGTTCCCCTTACATATTGGTTATATGCAGTCCTACATGCTGCTTACTTAATCAACTTGTTGCCCACACCACTTTTACAGAACAAGAGTCTATTTACAATGCTTTATCACCAACCAGCCATACTCAGTAATCTCAAAGTGTTTGGTTGTTTATGTTATGCATCAACCTATACTTCTCATCGAACAAAATTTTCCCCATGGGCTCGAAAGGCTGTTTTTCTGGGTTATACAGCAGGGGTAAAAGGCTATGTTCTACTTGATTTATGTCACGATCACTCACTTTTTCTAGAAATGTGGTTTTCTTTGAGCACCACTTCCTATTTCTCAATATTGTGGATCCAGTTCATTTTGTTCCTTCCACTGCTGCAAGCCAACCTATTATCACGGGTCCACCACCAGACTTATATGATACCTACCCTACTGATATACCTATTACACCCATACTGCCCCATCCTGACCTTTTACCTATATTACCTGCTACACTAGAGCCAGCCCATAATCCACAAGAGCCAGCCCATAATACACAAACCGTACCTCCTAGACACTCTAGCCGCACCAGAGGACCTTCATCCTATTTGAGGGATTACCACTGTAGTTTATCTGTTGCATCAGACTCATCCAATCAATCGTGTTCAGGTACTTCTCTGACCAGTCCTTATGTCCATTTCCCATTATCTGATGTTGTTTCCTATGACAGATGTTCTCTTGGTTACAAGCATTTCTGTCTTAATATCACTTCTCAATGTGAGCCAAAGACTTATATTCAGGCTTCCAAGTTAGATTGCTGGAAGGATGCCATGCAAAAGGAAGTCGCTGCTCTTGAGCAAAACAAAACGTGGGTTCTTGTTGATCTCCCCCAAGGAAAGCGAAGCATTGGCTATAAATGGGTTTACAAGACAAAGTTCCACTCAGATGGCACCATTGAACGACATATGGCTCGTTTGGTGGCCAAAGGGTATACTCAAATGGAGGGCATTGATTATTTCGATACCTTCAGCCCTGTTGCGAAGATGACGACTGTACGCATGCTGCTTGCTTTAGCTGCTAGCAAGAACTGGTTCTTGGAACAATTGGACGTAAACAATGCGTTCCTCCATGGCAACTTGCATGAGGAAGTCTACATGGATGTGCCTCCTGACCTTCATGTCTCTGGTCCTACCAAAGTTTGTAAGCTTCAGAAGTCGATTTATGGCTTGAAGCAGGCGAGTAGGCAGTGATATGCTCGTTTATCCACTGCACTTCTTTCTATGGGATACACTCAGTCTTCGGCAGATCACAGTCTCTTTGTCCGTTTTGAGAATTCCAGTTTTAAAGCTCTGCTCATTTACGTTGACGATATAGTTCTTGCTGGAGATAACTTGGCTGAAATTCGTCATGTTAAGAGGTTCCTTGACGATGAATTTAAAATCAAGGACCTAGGAACACTCCGTTTCTTTTTGGGATTGGAAATTTCTCGTTCCAAACAAGGTATCGTCCTTAACCAGCGTAAATATGCGTTGGAGCTTCTTTCAGACAGTGGCCTCCTGGCTATGAAACCTGTCTCCACGCCCATGGATCCCTCGACTAAGCTTCGTCGTGATCTGGGTTCTCGACTGCAGGATGATGGGCCTTACCGTCGATTGGTTGGTCGGCTGTTGTACTTAACTATAACCCGTCCTGACATCACTTACTCAGTTCAACAACTGAGTCAGTTCATTTCCAGCCCTACTGACATCCATTACACTACAGCTCTTCGAGTCCTCAAATATCTCAAGCTAGCTCCAGCCAAGGGCCTTTTCTTCCCTGCCAATAATGAACTGCTTCTCAGCGTCTTTGCAGATTCTGACTGGGCTTGTTGCCCCGACACCAGGAGGTCCGTTACTGGGTTCTGCATGTTCCTTGGGTCTTCCCTAATCTCTTGGAAGTCCAAGAAGCAGACAACCGTGTCTCGCTTCTCCTCGAAGGCTGAGTATCGTGCCCTGGCTGCCCTCACGTGTGAGATACAATGGCTTTGCTATCTCCTTCGTGACTTGCAGATCCCTGTTCTTCGTCCAGCTTCTGTGTACTGTGATAATCAGTCTGCCATCTACCTCGCACATAATCCTACCTTCCATGAACGATCCAAGCATATTGAGCTTGATTGTCACATCACACGCGAGAAAATTCAAGCTGGCCTATTACATCTACTCCTTGTTTCCTCCTCCATGCAACTTGCTAACGTTTTCACAAAGGCACTCCATCCTTCTCCCTTTAATCATCTTGTCTCTCGTTTGGGTTTTTCTGACCTCCATAGTCCAGCTTGCGGGGGGTGACAACATCCATTTCTCATATTGTGGATCCAGTCCATCATGAATCAAGCCCAAGTTCAGGCCCATCATGAAGCACAGCATCAGGACTCAGTTAGCTTTAGTTTTCTGTTTAGTAGCTCATTGTACAGTTAGTTCAACTAACTTATGTACGCGTGCATTAACTTCGATCTGTTAGTTTGTTAGTGAGTAAGTTAATTAGTTGTAACTATTTTTAGTTAACTTAGTTAGCTGAGTCAGCTTACTTTCCTTTCTTAGGTTTCTGTATAAAAGCCACACTTGGCTTGTATTGTACACACTTTTTCACTTTTACTCAATATATTCAAGAAATTATTTCACACATATAATTTCCATTTTGATATGCATTTTGTGGTTACATATTCAAATTGTATTAATGTTGGGCTGTTCATTAATAGTGACCTGAATTACACTTTTGGTTTCACATTCGGTTTTTCACTATTACATGATTTATTTTTGGTTTTAATAAAATATTTTGGTGAAACGGTAGTTGCAGTTTTTTTTATACTGTTATCTTGATTAAAATTCACATCCATAATGCTTGTGCACATTTTCATTTTATTTCGATTTTTTTCAAACGTGCCTTTAGTGAAATTTGATTGACGGTAACTTTTAAGTGTGTGTGTGTTTTTTTGTCACTTTTGAATTTTGTGAAATCATCAGCTTTTGGATTTTTGTTTGATTATTGGATTTTGTAAACATCTTCGTTTGCAGCTTATTTTGCCTTTTTGATATTTTAGATTTTGTTGTCATGTTACTCTCCATGAAACGTGAATTGTTAGAGCAGTTTGCGCTGATCATGATTCCGGTATTGAATTCGTGATTTTCATGAAACATTGTTTTCGATTATTGTTTCGCATTTCTAGTTATAGTTACCATGATTAGCGTTTTTTATTTTTACTGTTTTGATTAGTTTTTGTTAGTGATAAATCAACGTGGGTTGCATTTAAGGTTGGGCCTCAGATTTTAGAATCAGGATCCCATTTTTGCATATTGGCATTTTTAGTGTGAATTGGACACTACTTCTGATATCATATATTATTTTGATTTTTATTTTAATATTGGTAAATTATTTATTGAATATTTCATTGTTGCATTTCACAATTTGGTTTTAGTGAAACTTTGCTTTTAGTAAATAGTTTCAGAAACATGATGTTTACATTTTTGTACTTCACAGTTGATATTTTCTTTTTTAATTCATATTTAGTATTAGCATCGTTGTCATGTTATTTTTCGTAATTTAGATTTCATATCTGATTTGGACCTCTAAATTATTGGACCTTTGATTTTGACTTTAGCGAGACAAATGAAAACCATTTGGAGTTTTGTATATTTTTGTGAAATATGTTCACATGGGTAGGTCCCATAATTAATAAACTTTGTCCTTTTTGAAACATTTTAGTACATTTTAGTGGATTTTCACATTTCACATTTTGGATTTAGTGAAATTGGTTTCATATTTCATTTGGCTATATGGTTGTTCAATATTTTATTTAATTGCATAGAAAAGTGGCTAAACAGAAAGTTGGAATTTTCAATAAAAGAGCAACCCTCATGTTCTCAATTTCTATTAACAAATTAAATAATAAAATATTCAACTCCTAAAATAAGGGTCATAAGCATTCTTTTATAGACTAATTACAAATTGATTCAAAATTCAAAATATAAAATTTTAAAAATAATAAAACTTCCTAAAATAAATATAAGAATAATTAACATCTAAAAATTACAAATAAATAATTCAAAATATATCTCAAATCTTGAATATCAAATCACGTCAAATATGTTGCTTTCTTTTTCTTCTCAAACAAATCATAATCACATCTGCTACTTTATTGGGACTTGAATTTGATTGTAATTTGTTATATTTCAAATTATTGTCTTTTGCAACAATTGGGTCATACTTATTGGGCCACAACTTTAGTCGATTACGAGCTTCTTGAATTAATGATTGTGCCATGTACAATGGGTCAATTGTAAGTGCATCATTTATGACTAGTTCAATGTCATTGGTTTTTGGCACTGCAATGTTTTTAGGCTTATTGATTGCAGTGTATTGTATCGTGACTTGTGACTGACAATGGATTGACTGCAATTAATCATATTTTACATTAATTGAGATTTTTTATTATAACTTAACTTATAAGAGTTAATATTTACTCTATTTGGCGGTGCTATTGGATCATTTTATTGAATAAAAGGGAGTAAAACTACTATATAATTTGGCATTAATTGCATGTGGCAAAATGAAAGTAAATGGGTATAACAGATTCTGAACCCATGTCTGAAGGTTAATATTTATGCACCGTGTGAATTAAATTAAGCAAGTTTTTATGTCATGTATTATAATGATTTGATTGTACGTATTAATTAATGTTTCCTTATACAAACAATATTGAGATGAATAATTTGAATATTTTGGTATTATTGCCTAGGGTTTGAAGCAATAATTTGGATTTGGAAATTAACATCAAGTGATCCATATAATTTAATTTCATTTAATTAGGGATTACTCTCAGCACCCTTAATTATTTCAATTATATATTAAGAGTCTTTGGATCACATAAATGGCGTGACATTAATTATAATTCATCATGCAAATATAATAAAAATTCTTGTGAGATAAATTTTTAAAAATTACATGTGATGCCTTTATGTTGGAATTATGGAAATATATAATTTATAAAATTTATATGCCCAACGAGGATAAATTTTAGACAATTATATATAATTTTCTACTACTTAAGCGTAATTAGTATTTTTGGTCTTATAATCTAATGTTAAATGCTGGATTTTTATTTTATTTTATTTTGACAAAATTTGTTGGATTGACAAATGCAATATGATTTTTGGAAACACATGTTGTGATTTGTGAAGCGATTTATGTTGTTAGAAACACATGTTTTTAAGTGTTTCATGTTATTGAGCATTGTTGTTGATCTATTATATTGAATTATTATATGTTAAATAACATGCCCAAAGTGGTTGTTACATATAATAATTTGGGAAATTTCATGAAGAAATTATTAATAAGATTACGTAATTTAAAAGTATTTATCTGCACAAAGGGGATAAATTATTTTTAAATTGATGTGGTATTATGGAGAAATATGTATAATTTAAAAATTTGTCTGCCAAAAGGATGAATTTTTATAAATGTATGTAATTCTCCTTGTTGTTCAAATCTTTATGTGATGGAAAATACTTGTATATTATATCCCTGCCCAAAGGAGGTTTATGATATATAAATTATTTTGTTGTTGCCCAAATTTAGTCTTGTTGCATTGTGTATACCAATTAATTATTTTTACAATTAACAACAATCATGCCATTGTTGAATTATTGACTATGTCAAATTATAAGAAATAGAGATGTATAATTTATAGAATATTTTTTTATTCATTGAGCTGTATGCTTCCGCTTGAACTGTTTAAATGCAAAAAAAATTAGAGAATGCTATTGTATTTGAACTCGTGATCAATAAAGGTATTGCACCTTCTTGTGGAACCAAGATTTGTAATAGTTTCTATGAATTACTATAGGTATTACCACTAAAGTAGAATTGATTTATTTGTCATGTAAATTTCTTTCTAAATTTGAGAAAAGCTTCTTGTTATTTCATGCAATTTCCTGCCTAAAGGGAGTTATTTTGTGTTTTAATTGGAAGCTTGTCTGAAATAAAATTATTGGAGGTGCATTGGTCTAGGTGATTTGTCTGCCCAAAAAGAACAGATCTTTGAAGTCGATATATATATGCTCATTAATTGATTCATCAAAAGGCTTATAACTTGATTTAAACCTAGGTTGAAAAGGATTTATGATTCTAACATTTTATCTCGTAATAATATTATCATAAGACCTATAAGTCTTACCAGAGATGGGCTTGAAAGAATAATTTTTTGTTATTTTGGCTTGTTATTTTGGCTAGTTATATCACTAAATTAATATATTTGTAAATACTTATATAATGAGAAAAAGAACATATATAAATAATAATAAAACAATTTTTAATTTCATTTATTGATAACGAAAGATGTATACTTGTTTCCTTTGAGATAAATACTAGATATGTATAGTTATAAAAAAATTGTATTTTTCATATTTTTCATACTATTAAACCTATTTATAAATTTTAAAAGTCCAAGTAATTAACAAACTTATATTAAAAGAAATGAATAAAATAAATAATAATTGGACTTCAATTTGTATATTCAAGACAAAAATAATATTTAAAGAAATATTTTGTCACTTATATTAAATATTGAAAACAATTATTAGTGAATTTTTTATATAATAGTATATAAATTATGCTTTTTCATAATGAGGTAAGTGAATGAGTTTTTTTATTCTAAATTTTCGGTATAAAGTAAAAAAGAAGAATTCAAATTGAGAAAAAAAAAATTAAAAATAAAATAATTTTACTCTTTCGAGTATGGCCTTAATTTTCAAATAAATTTAATGGCCTTCACAAGTATTTTCCATGATGGCCATATATGTTAACTTTTTAATATAAAAACTGTGAATTTGTCACACACAAAATAGCATTTAAAAAAAATATTTGTTAAAAATATTTATTACTGTAAGATTAATTGTAATTCACTCTTACTTTGAACACGAGTCACCCTCATTCAAAAGTATGAACTAATCTCACAAAAAGAGAATAACATATATATATATATATATATATATATATATATAAAGAATAAGATTAATTTAAGAAATGTTAGATGAAGAATGAATTGAATGATTAAATGTACTTCAGTTGGTTTTTAATTGTTATATTTTATTTTAAAATTCAGTTGGTTTTATAAAATTTTGAGAAGGATTTGCGATTCTAATATTTTATCTCGTAATAATATTATCATAAAACCTATAAGTCTTACTAGAGATGGGCTTGAAAGAAGAAACTTTTGTTATATTACTAATCGCATCACTAAATTAATATATTTATAAATAATTATATAATGAGAAAAAGAATATATATAAATAAGAATAAAATTTAATTTTTAATTTCATTTATGGTTAATGAAAGAAGTATATTTGTTTCCTTTGAGATAAACACTAGATATGTATATTAGTTATAAAAAATTGTATTTTTCATTTTTTCATACTATTAAACCTATTTATATTTTTCAAAAAAGTCGAAGTAATTAAAAAACTTATATTTAAATAAATGAATAAAGTCAATAAAAATTGGACTTCAATTTGTATTTTCAAGACAAAAATAATATTTAAAGAAATATTTTGTCACTTATATTAAATATTGAAAACAATTAGTGAATCTTTTATATAATAGTATATAAATAATGCTTTTTCATAATGAGGTAAGTGAATGAGTTTTTTTATTCTAAATTTTCGGTATAAAATAAAAAAGAAGAATTCAAATTGAGAAAAAAAAATTAAAAATAAATATTTTTTTTGGTATCCTGTTTGGGAATGCCCAACAGGCTAAGAAGAAGAAATACAACGAGTTCTATCCAAATCACTTAAATCAGCTAAATACTGTAAAAAAATTCCATTGGGTGAATCTGGAAAAGAGCATAAATCCTCTTGATCCAGATTTTCAAATAAATAATTTTACTCATTCGAGTATTGCCTTAATTTTTTAAATAAATTTAATGGCCTTCACAAGTATTTTCCATGATGACCATATATGTCAACTTTTTAATATAAAAAGTAAAAACTTTGAATTTTCGCAAAAAAAAAGTAGCATTTAAAAAAAATATTTGTTAACAATATTTATTACTGTAAGATTAATTTTAATTTACTCTTACTTTGAACACGAATCACTCATTCAAAAGTATGAACTAATCTCACAAAAAGAGAATAACATAAAAAAAAAGGAGATAGAATAATACCAACGTACATTTATATTTTCTTTTTCTTTTTTGAAAAACTGCATTAATTTTATTTTAAATTTTCAATACAATGAAGATATAGTGGCCACCAAAATTTATTTTAAAGAAAAAATTTATAAAGGAAACTGTAAATTGCAAAAATTAAATTTTGATTTGATGTATAAAATTTCACTCAACGTATTTTTTATATATAATGGAGTATTCAAAATTACGTCTTTTTTAAAGTATTTTTAGGTTCATTTAAATTGATTTTGGAAAAAAGTTAATGAAGTACTTTTTAAAAAAAAAAATTGTTATTTTTTTAAAATTTTCATCTTTTTTACTTTTTTGAATTTTCCATTGCAATTGAAAAAAAAAACAATTTTTTCCTTTTTTTTTAGCAATACAGGGATATTGCACATGTATATGTTAAACGAATGCTTTTTTTATGCTCACTTCTAAAAATAGAAAAATTGAGAGATTTAAATGGAATCACTTTTTTCATTTTGAAAAAAAAAAATCACCATATTATTTGTGGTTCTAGAGCTCTGAAATTTTTTTCTCATGTACAACAATTTACACAAATATAGAACCTAAACTAAATAATAAAAATAATATTAACTAGAATCGTACTACCAAAACTGCAGTGTTGAGTTTATAATCTGCCAATCTTAACTTGGCAATGCCACGCATTTTCATATTTCATCTCTCCTATAGTACGTAGTTGTAAACTTGTTGGGCTAAATGGATTTGAGACGGGTTGGGCTAAATGCAAAATGAGCTTATTCCATGGATCTATGACATTTCAAAGTCACCCATACTTGACCCATAATATGTGTCAAAAATGGACTCGTCCCAACCGTAGTGAAACAAGTGCTTCAAATTGTAAGGTTCAACATCTCTGTTACCATTCCACATTATCTTGGCGAAATGTTCAGCAGCCCTCTCCGTGGGATGAAGAGAGTCAAAGAACACATACTCATTAACATTGTTACATAGTTCATATTCTTCAATTCCCCTTTTCCCTCCACAACTATAATCTCCTCTGTAAGCACCACCTCCACAACAAGCTTCATTACCCTCTATGAAACCTTACCAACAAAATATCAAATACAAAACTATTATCATAACAAAGATGATGCAGCTTCTAAACAAATCTATAATGAATAAATAATATTAATAAGATCCATCTGGTATCCAGTCACCTTCTTATAACTATGTATTTCGGAGAGTACATAGTTATAATATTAAAATTACTTTTTTTTTCTCTTCACGTTAGCCGATGAATTTATGAAAAATTTATAAAAAAGTGACAAGACAAAATCTTATATCCTAGTAACATGACAAACAATCAACTCATAACAATATATAGAGTTTCAGTGCATACCATAATTTGAAGAGTTAGTCATTACTTCAATAAGTGCATTGTAGAAGTCAGTAATTGAGTATCTGAACCCTTCTAGCTGTTTCTCAAGCTTCTGAAGCATTTTGGGAAAAGCATTATTGTGTAGTCTTGCAAGTGCCGAAGCTGCTTCTTCCTGGCATGCACTTATTGTTGTTCCATTCACGAGCCTCCTTAGAAGTGGAAAGCAATTCAAAGGACCCACATTTACAAACCCAAATTTTCTTCCACCATCATTATATATTCCCTATGGTCAAATATTTATATCAATGTTCGAAATTAAAATTACTAACAACTGTAATGTTGGTTAAAAATTAAAAAGTAGGATTGTGAATTGTGAGGCAAAGGGTTCAAATCTTAGCGTACTTTGATTACAGCTGTAATATTGCCAATCACAAAATCTACGAATTGTTGTTGAGGGTATGGAAGAACCACAGCACTATTTGAGTTTGTGATGAAATGGGTGCCATAATCATTGCCTCCTATGCTAAATAGATAGACAGCTCTGGAGAGCAATTGTTTGGCTTCCACATCTCCTAGTTTCTGCCTTATTTGTTTGCTAACTTCTGTGAAGTGATTTGCCTGAGTTGTTAAGTCTATCACCTGAAAAAAGAATAACAAAAGCTTACATATCTTTTGGAATACAATGATAGTGTTTGGTTGAAGGTTTATTTTGAAATTGATGGGAAAGTGTAAGTGGATATTGGAAAATATCACGTTTGGTTCAGGTTTTTTCAAAAAATACTAGACAAATAGGATAGATGGAAAAATAATTTGTGTTGATTTTTTGGATAAAATTTACTGTTACAGAATACCACTTGAGATGCGTTATTTTGAGATAACTGGGGAAGTGAAAAAACAGGTGCAAAGTTTCTCCCGAACATAGATTTTGCATATTTAAATAAATTTCACTGGTAATATTTTGATCAACCAAACAACTTTTTTTACATTTTTCTACCAAACTTACTTTCCAACCATTTCTCTATCAATTACATTTCCTTAGTAAAAAATTTTTTCTCCCGAAGCAAACAGTATCTAGGAAAAATATCATTGCTTGGTTCACTCTTTATTAAAAAAAAAAAAAAAAAACTGAAAGTAAATTGAGCCTCAAAAATCCAAATCCCAATAAAACAAAAATATAGCACTTATGTACTACATAAAGACTATCCATTACATTACAACACATATAAAGCTTCTCTTTTTTTTTTTTGGAGTTACCCAATCCTAATTATCTCTTTGAGACGAGTTGGCTCCCTCCGGTATCCTCACGAGCTTCGACTTTTTGAGCCGGCTATGGGACTAATCCGGAGTGCGGGGGAACAGTGATGGCTAAAGGTTCAGCCCCCTCCCCAAGAATGCATTCAGCGGGAATCGAACACATATCCAACCCCACTAACTCAGCGCCAAGTTACCAACTGAGCTGCACTCATTGGGTAAGCTTCTCTTCTCTTCCCTTCCTTTTATTATTATTTATTTATTTATTTAATTTAATGTTGCTGTAGTTAACTAGCTTACCAGTCCTTGATTAGTTTCAACCAGAGCCCCAGCTCCTGCAGATGCAAAATTAACCCCATAAATGTGCTCATCATGATATCCAGGATGCAGGTATGGTGGAATTAATGGCAACTTTGCATACTCAGCTGCAAACACTCACCAAACCAAACCATAGAAATTAATAAGCTAAAGTAAAAACTTCATATCATAAAGAAAAATATAAAAATATGCTTCAAATAGGTAAAATGATTACTGAAAACAAACCAATGAAATCTGGTATTATACGTCCATCAGAAAATCTTCCAGTAGGATAGTTGAAGAAAGTTTCCCCATATGGGGGATAGTTAGCCTGAAGAAAAGTGGTGGCATTGATGTAATCATTGTTTCCAGTATCAAATAGTGAGTCTCCGAATATGAATAGGGCTCTGTGGTTCTCTGGCAGGTAGGTGCTGCATTTGGAAAGTGAGAGAACAGAGTTGAGAATGAAAGTGCTCAGATAGAGAACCAATATAGAAATGGAAACCCTTAAGCTTGCCATGTTAGAAATTCTAGTTCTCTTTTCTCATGCACAATTAGGTACAGCATTGTCAGTTATTATATAGGCTTTGCGAAATGCTCATACTACACTTTTTCTCATTCATATTACCCCAAATTAATATATTATTTTAAGATTATTAAATAGTAACACGGCGCGTCGGCGCCTGGTTTCCTTTACTTTAACACGTTTCTTTTATAAACTTGTCGTCTAGTACAAATTCTATTCTGAAGTACCAAAAATCAAAAGAAATTAGTGTTTCTCAGATAATTTTATTTTTTATATATATGAAATTTATTTTTTTTTCCTTTCTCTTCATTTTATATGAACCCACATGGATCTCATATATTTATATGTGTTTATAAGAGATAAAATTATCTTTTGTAATATAAAAATATTATTCTCATAATCAAAAGTAATAGCAACGCATTTGGTCGGAATTAAAGGAGTTTTTTTTAAAAAGGAGATTTTACATTAAAATCTTGTGAATAGAAAAAAAAAAGTGTTTGGAGAACTTAGCTTCCTAGAGGAATATTCACTCTACTCGAATTAGGGAAGACTTAAAATAAATTTAAAATACTAAAAGTAAAAAAAAAAAAAAAGATGTCATAAATGCAAAAAAAATATATATATTTATAAAATTAATATTTGTCAATTCACACACGTGGTGGAATCAATTATTTGGTGTGTTGTGTTTGGTGTTAATGGCTATATATATCCGAGCAAGCTTGCTAGGAGCCCACATTCCTGATGAGTGATGAGGAGAACAAATCTATAGTTTAACACGAGTGCTCACGTGGATACTTTTTTTTCCTCCTAAAAGTGGAAAAAAGATTTCCATTTAAATTCTTCTTTTGATTTATATTATCATCTCAATCCTAAAAAATTTCCTTTTTTGAAGGGATGTACTATACATCCGCTACATTGAAAAAAAAATTCCCTTACGAGAGGCTTCTAGTCCCACAATGAGACCCTCTCTAACATGGAGAGAATGGTTACAATTGAAAATGAAGGAGGCATCACCCGTTTGGTTGGTATTATTTAATAGAAAAAATAATAGATGATTTTTCTCTCTCGATATTTTGATCGCAGAAAGGAATAAAATATGTGCAAATTAATGTTAAATTATTTTATTATTTCTACATCTAATAAATTTGATTTATTTAAACGATTTTTTCCCTGTCCGACCATCTTCTCCATGTGTAATTGTTTGGAATCAAATTTTTGAAATTGAAAGAAAAGAAAGATAAAAGAAAGAATTTGCAGAGATAACTTTTTTGTGAATCTTACTATTTTTGCATCATTAAGATTTAAGAAAGGACAGAAAAGGACGGAAAAGGAAAGAAAGATAATAATTTTGTGGGTCTCACTGTGCATTTGCATGCGTTTTTTTTCCCCAATAAAATATAATAATTAAAGGGAACTTTTACTTATTTTCATTAAATAATATTAAACAAGGAAAAAGAATTATTCTTTCGCCTTTTATTTTTACTCAGTGATAAAAAGACCTGCGGGTGGTACTTCAAATAATTTGATTTTTAGTGAACCTAAAAAAAAAAAAAAACCCTAATCCGTCCTCTTATTTATATATATATATATATATATATATATATATATATATATATATATATATATATATATATATATATATTGAATGTATACCAAACTAGAATAAACATGAAAATTACAAGCTCCCGATGAATTCTACCAAATAAAGCAAGCAGAATTAACTAAGTGCATGCGTTACATGAGGTTTTCCGTTTGCCAGTTCGCATTTAATGAATTTATGAAAATAACAAAGCACCCGAGCGCAGCTTCTGTATTATAGATGCATCAATTATTGGATTGGACGGTATATTTATATTATATATCAGGATTTTTTTTGACACCGGTGTCAAATTTTAAATTTGACATCTCATCTGAAAGCTGTTAGATCAAAAAAGATTAACGATGTCACATGCTTACAAATCAAAGCCGTTGATCTTTTTTGATCTAACGACTCTCAGATGAAATGTCAAATTTAAAATTTAATATTAATGTCAAATAATCCTACCTCTATATATTATTGATAATATATAGTGTAAAATATAAAAATTATTGTTTTTCTCTACAATAAAATAGCAGTTGATGTGGCGCGCTCCTATAAATATAGTGTACCTACTTTTGTGTACCTACTTTTGTAATATACTGGATATTTCGCAAGTCACCCCATGTCCCAAAGTAGCACCTATCACTGAGACTTTTGAATACAAAAATTATTGATGGCGCAGAAAAATTTGGTGTGGGACACTATATGATCCGCAAATCTGGACGACCCAATTGAAAAATGCCACGTTAGTTAGCAATGGACAGTTATGTGTGATTGGTGATTTGGTATTATGGGCAATTATTGTAGGAGTTTGTATTTGTCATTTAACATAATACAGTTAATTTTTTTACACACATAATATTTTGTGGGGTCTATATTTTTTGAAAAAAAAAAGATTACGACACGCAAAACGAATCTCTATAACATTACACAATCACTTTTTCTACAACATAACTCTTATAAAATCCATTATTATAAGATTCAATATTTCTTATTACAGAAAATAATTTTATCTCTTATATATTCATAAAATTATAGGGTCTGTTTTTCTGTCATTAATGTAGAAAATTATCTATATTGAACCTAAAATGATGTCATTTTGTGGTGAAAATTAAGATATTTTTATAATTATAATTTTTTTCAGGGCTATAATAGTCTTTCTTATTATGATTTTTTAATCTTTCACCCTAAAATGATATCATTTTGAAAATGAATATAAATAATTTATCTACATTTACTATAAAAATATTAAAGCCAAAAATATATAGGGAGTCTTAGATTCAATTATAATTATTAATTTTACTTGTATTTAATGATTATTATGATTTATAAATTAAAATTATTATATGCAAGTGAGATGAATAATTAATAATATGTGAAAATTTACGTCCATGTAAATTGAATTTTTTTTTGGGGGTAAACAATTGATTCTTCCTCTCATTTCATATTGAATAAGTTACAATTTTAAACAAAATAAAATCTTGATTTATAACATGAGTTAGAAACTACAAGTGCTTTCTTTGCACATAGTTACAACTAAAATAAAAAAGGGTTATATTTATCTCATTTAACATGAGATAAACTAAATTTCTACACACATAATAAATGTGGATCTCATCTTTATTTTTTCTCTCTCCAATTATTTGTTGGTCTTTCTTATAAATTTTTTTCACACTAACATAAGATAACTATCTCCAAAAATATAAGAAAAACATTTCCTAAAAAAGAAACCTACAAACAACATAAAATTTTAACAATGAAAATGAAGGAGAAGTAAAAGACATGAAAGAAGCTAGGAAGTTTTGATTTTACTCAAAATTAAGAGTGTAAAAAAACCAAAATAACTAATTGAATTGTAAATTGAACTGAGAATTGGTTTTTAAAAAACAGTACAATTTATAAGAGTTTGTAAATAAAAAATTTGTAAATATAACATTCTCCTGTATCACATCTCAATATCTCTTCTGCCCTTAATGATGAATGGCATATCCCAGAAATCCAGTGAGAAATTGACCTTTTGCTGACTTTTGACCTAGTGAGCATGACTTATTTTACATGGGTACTTGAACTGTTGAACATGTCATCTAAGGACCCCAAAACTCTTGAAATCTTCATCTAAGGCTTGATAATCACTAGGAAGCATTATTGTAAAATAATGAAAAAAAAATGTAGGAATACATCCCATCATCAAATAGAAATTTTCCGCAGTTGATTAGCTTCGAAACTTAAGCATCAGCTTGCAGCATATGTCTGAAGAGGCCTAACTTTGATAAGCTAGAAATATCGGAGTTTCAAAAATTGTTGTATTTGCCATACTTCTACTCTTGCAAATGTTTATTGCTCTTTGTTATGTACCATATGAATATGACCTTACAATTTTCTGATTATAACAAGAAGTTTAAATGTCTTGTCATTGCTAGTTACACACCTTAAAACCAACCCAATTAATTTTTCTCTGAACTCAAAAAATATCAACTTCAATTACTCAAAATCCATGCAATTTGAACATAAAAGCCTCCCTCCAAATAAGCCTCCATGCTCCCCACTAACTTAATGCTATCATCTTAAGGCCTCATAGATGATGACTTAACAGAGGAAAGTAAAGAGTGGGGTTCCAAAACAACTCAGAAAATTAAAAGTAAAATGCAGTGCATATATGCTGCGATATTAATCAGCATTAAGGTGCCACTGTTCCCTTATCTATCTTCGAGGCAGTGAGTAACATTAAAGCTTTGATGCTAAAAGATCTAAAAAGTGATTCCATAATTTCATTTATAATCGTGACTGCACATAACTTCCAGCATGTTACCTCATTAACTACATTTTGTGACCACTCAACACTTTTTCAAACTGACACAGTCAGAGAAGCACACATACAAACTGACAATTCCTACAACAGACAATATAACAATTCTTTGCTGCAGACATATAAATCAACCAAAAAAGGGTAACACGTTTGCTTGAGAAATTAATTTAGGAGCCTAGTTTTGAAGGTGCAAGAAATACAATCATACATTTAAAAATTTAAATCTTTAGCCCAATTAAAAATTATGTTGCAGCAGAGAGTTTAAGCAGCAATAATTTATACAAAAACAATTATGATCCAACCACACATTATGAAACACACATGGTCTCTAATTCGAATCCTAGGCCAAACAACTCAGATCAGTGACAAAAAAATTTACTCTCTGATATACCAAAACAAAAAAAATTACTCTCTATGTCATAAAGGAAATTAATTTCATCCAAATGAACGGGAACACTGCTGGAATAAAAAAAAAACTACCAACGAAATCTGCAAATGCTTAGGGATTACTAGTGAATTGTATGGAGAAATAGTTTATAAAGGTATCCTAATGTGAATACCAAACATATTACGACCGCCCTAGCTAGTAACATTAGAGTAACTTATTATCATTTTTCAACTTAAAAAGAAAAGAGAGGAAGATTGAAAAATGAAGGAATCCCAGTGAGAATAAGAGGCGAAGAGCGAGCACATATTGCAACTTCCATTTATTTATTAACTAAAAATCACAATTTCGAAGCCACGGTATGGTTCCTCTTTTTCCTTCATCAAAATGGTGCCATGCAATCCTTCATCGTTTATCCGATTCTTTATTTAATTATATATAGTTTGAAATTTTGGATTATGTTGTTGACCATTGATTAGCAACAAAGCAAGAAAGAATACACGGGCATGGACCATTAAATCTTGTTGCCATGCAAGATGTTGGAGCAAATCCTTGATATATGACCCAATTGGCAATTATAGCCCAATGGATCAAGGTGCACCTTCACCAATTTTGTTAAAAACCCTTTGCATCAGTGAAATACCTAATCTATCTAACGAGATTGTATGGTCCACGGCCTTTTCCACCCCTACATTACTTTTGAGAGCATCTGGTTGACCTTTTCTGTTGGATGACTACCATAATTATTATCGTTATCACATAAAATCTTCTCCTGTTGTACTTATTCCAACTAGGAACTCCTCTTTGTGGACCTGATCCTTGTGGATCTAGGATGCTATTAGATCTGTGGATTAGTAATGTTTATGGAGAAGAGAGTTGCATATGATTGCAGATCACCGTGAACAAACAAGAGATTTGTTAAGAACCTTGGGATACATCACCCTAAAAGCTAGCTCAAAGGGTGGAGTGTCCAAGGTGTTGAGATATATAGTCCCACATTGATTAGATGAGCAACTAATATGGCCTTTATAAGGCCTTGGGCACTCCCACCCTTTGAGCTAGCTTTTGGGGTGGTGTATCCCAAGGTTCTTTACACAAGGCCTTATAAACTCCACATTAGTTGCACATACAACAAATGTGAGACTATATTTCTCAACATTCTTCGTATCAATACACACAATATTATTTCTAACAAGGTTAAAAGCCAAAGGGGATGTGTATGCACACAATAGCGATAATAAAGGTTAAGGTTCTAGCAACATACCTAAGAGACTTAACCCTTTTATTTATAAAGGATTTTACCTGACGGTGGATCAGACCCACTTCTCGTGGCCACAATGAGCCTATGTACATGGGTCTAGAACAGGACCATTACCACAGTATGCCACTTTCCCTTCTTTGAGACCATGTCTAAAGTGGGGGGAAAAAACTCTGCATATTCAAATAAACACGCATATAAAACAGCAGCAGGCAAAGGGCATACCATATTTTAAAGGGTTATTCATTACTAATTTGGTCATTGAAGTCAGGTTTCCAATCACCATATCAAGAATTTAGATCAATTCAGAGTAAAAAAATTCAAGCACACCATAATCACAGTTTCCTTTCTCTTCAAAATTCAATTAATGTCTGTCAAACTAAACAAGCTTTATAATTATAACGTACTATCACTAGTGTAGTAAAGTAATGAAAAAATTATAGGAGTGAGAGTTGTACATACATTTTATTCACACAAGATATAGTAATCAAGTTTTTATTTATGTAGTAAGAAAGGGAAAGTAATAAATCAGGAAACAAATCATGGGGCTTGGAAGAGATCTTTGATAGTGTAAGGCCCTATAGTGTGAGAGTTGTTAGTATAACCCCACATCCGATCTGCCAATTGTTTGTAAGCACTTTCTGTAAGATGGTAAGAATCCCAAAATAAATGTTCATTGGGTTTGTCACATAATTCAAATTGCTTCTCCCCTCTTTTTCCCCCACAGTTGTACTCTCCTCTAAGTGGCCCACTTCCACAACATGCTGATTTTCCCTCCTTCAATCCTGCATCAAATAAATAACAACAATTCTCAATTATTAATTAATTTGCAAAATGGAAGTTTAGAAGTGGGGACACTAAATAATTAAAGTATCAAAGTGTAATATAATCAGTTTTATGGTAACACTACTAAAGACTTACCATATTTCAAGGGATGGTTGATCATTTCAGTGACATCAGTGTGGAAATCATAGAGAGAAAATTTAAAGCCCTTTAGCTGCTTCTCCAATTGTAAGAGAACTACAGATAGAGCTTGATTATGTAAACTTGCAAGGGATGAAAGTTCTTGTAAGCAACTTCCATTTCCTTCCGACTCAATTATTCTGGTGCCTGGAAGACAACCCAAGGGTGGCAAGTTCATGAACTCAAATTTTCTAGCCCCTCTCTTATATACTTCCTGCAAAGACCATTTATAAATCAGAACCATGCGTGTGACTTAATCACTTGGTAATCAAAACTCAAACAACTACATAACGTCCTCATCAAGTAGAAGAAAAATAAAATATATGCGTGAAAATAATCATAAAGATGAGGTCAATATAAATATTTTTTTTTTTACGTATATAATAAATGATGTACAGAATATTAAGTACTCTCATACCACCCTAAATATTTTCCTAATGCTCCCTAAAGTTAATGTTGTGAAACTAACTCATACACCCAGTGGCGGAGCCACTTGTGGCTTAGTTAGTGCCTTGGCACCAGCTAATTTTTAAAAATGATATAAATTTTCTTTAAAAATTATGATACAACTTCAACACTAGTTGAGTTTTTATAAATAATATAACTTTGGCACCGACTAAATTCTATGTGGTTGGGTCTGTTAGCACCAGCTGAGTTTTACTTCTGGCTCCGCCACTGCACATACCTCTCAGTAAGTCATGGCATGGAATTTATGCATATATGTCATTCTCATTCACTTCTTAGCTCTATATATCATGAATATACGCATTCCTGTATGTTGTTATTGTTTTCATACTAGCCTTTAACCAGATATAAAAAATAAGGAAATAGTTGTCTTATGTCACATAAGACAACTATCTTACGTTGCACACTCATGAAATTGCCTATTTTTTCTTTTTCTTTTATATTTTTTTAAAAATTGTGGACCCCACAACTTTGTTTCACCCACATAAGATACTTATCTTATGTGACATAAGATTAATATCTCCATAAAAAATAATGTAATATTTTTACCTCGATGATGGAAGTCAAGTTACCAATAACCATGCCAACATATTCAGAATGAGAGTAAGACTTAAGAACATCAGAATGTGTCAAGAAGGGAACAAAGTAATCATTAGATCCGATGCAAAACATGTAGACAGCGCTTGATAACAATGTTTTAGCGTCAGAACTTCCTAACTTGTGCCTCAACAAAGTTGCTACTTTCTTGAAGTTTCTTGCTTGCGTTTTGAGGGGTATTACCTGAAAATTTGAAATGACAAAGTCATCATGCTTTAGGCCATTCCTAGTTCCTATTTGCCTAGTGCATTTCAATAAAAATTCAAAGAGTTAACAAAATAGAGGGGAAAGAAAAGTGCATCCTCTTAATTGAGATGAATTTAGCCCTCCTCTATTGTTATGAAACAGGATATTTGAGGCTATAATTTATCGTAATGTTATGAAGTATATGAACAAAAAGGAAAGGAGAATAATATAAGATGAATATTACAATTGTCTCCGTCTTGCTATAATATGTCACATAAATGGAGAAAATTAAAAGAGAAAATAATGAAACTGTAGATTAAGGTAATTAATATCGATTCAATTAATAATAATTGCATTTTCCTAAAATTTAATTTCCTTGTACTCTGATTCATTTATGTATAATTTTCAGTCCCTTCTGTCTACTGAAGTCTAAACAAAGCCATAAATATATACGAGGAGGGATATTCTTACTACAAAAAATTTTCACTACCAACTTACTACCTATCTAATCATCATTAGATTAATATTTTTTCTTTCTTCAAAAACTTTTTAACATTCTTTCTCTTTGATTTGATCCAATGGTGATGTGATGGGTAGTAAGTTAGTAGTAAGAATTTTTGATAGTTAGAATATCCTCACTCAATATATATTTGCAAACCCTTAGCAAAATTTGGTTTTTATTTGGAACATTATTTAAAAAAATACACACACTGAGTCACCAACTCTTAATAAAATGTTAACCATGAAAAAAAATAGTTACATTTTTTTCATAGAACTATATATTTTTTCACGAAATCATCACACTTTATTTCGGAGAATCGTCATTTTTTTTCAAAAGATCAGCTCGATCGGTGTACATATTTTTTTATCAGGAATAGCCTATTATAATCCATTGGTTGGCCCATGAGGGCATGTTCAATGTCATGGGTCCATAGACAATGCTATCTTCCAAAAGGTAAATGCTCACGTACAGCTAGTATTTGTTTGAGTCACGGTTTTACTTGATATTCAGCATATCACCACAATGACATGCACTTCGAGAAACTTGTGGACATAAATATCAGGTGTATCCTATCTACCAAAAAATAAAATAAAAAAACCATTTGCTTACTCAATAATAAGCTACCATAGACTTTCCCCATGTGATCGTGCTTAGCTAGCTATGCAGCCTATGCTTGACATGCATATAATTGGTCAATTACAAATTACTATGCGAAAATTTTTTATCCTTTTAAAAGAAAAAAAAAATTGTGTCGTCTTGGCAGGTATAATTATATATTATGAATGATATATAATTATAATATTAAAGTTATTTTTTCTTTTTAAAAACTGTTTATTGATGTAAAGAGTAAAAAAATATATAATTTTATAATATTATAACTATATATTATCCGTAATACATAATTATAATCGCGGGAGACATCCTTGTTTTCGTGAGATACACTAAACCCAATTACTATATACTACTAACTTTCTCACCACATAACTTAATTTAAAAATCTTAATATTAAAAGTGCCATTAACCAAAGCAAAATAGAGCACTAAGGGGAATGAAATAGACTTACCGACCCTTCAAAAGTTTCAACAAGAGCACCTGCTCCACCAGAGGCAAAATTCACACCACTATAGTATTGGGTATTGCCAGGTTGTAGAAATGGTGGAATCAATGGAAGGTTTGCATATTCAGCTAGAAAAAGCAGAGGAAAATTAACAAAAGTTATATGAGCATGCAGAGAAGCTTATTTTTTAATGGGAGACAGAAAATAAGTTAGTTATACCAAATTGGATTTTTTACAAGTAACAAGACAAGAAGCATAAGATCTGCAAATCTTACCCATAAAATCTGGTACCAACCGGCCATCAGAGAATCTCCCGGTCGGAAACTTGAAGTAGGTTTCTCCATAAGGCCAGAAATTTGCTTGGTCATAGGTTGTAGTGTTGATGTAATTGTTATTGCCTGCATCTAAGAATGAATCACCAAAAATGAATAAAGCAACTTGCTTGCTGCTCCTATAATCGGTCTTGCTTCCATGGGTCTGAAAAACAAGAGCTATAAAGAATACAAGAAAGAACATAGAGGCCCCTTGATTTGCCACAACAATGAACTTCATCTTCACATAATATGCTTCAATTCAGTCATAATTAACTCATATATATATATATATATATATATATATATATATGGGATATGATAAACTTATATCAGTGTAAAAATAACAAGTCTTACACCACTTCTTAACCGTTGATTTTCATGTATCAAACGGTTGAGATTTATTACATCCACCGGTAAAAAATAACCCACCCCTATACGAAAATCAACGATTAAGATGTGTATAGTGGTAGGTTATTCTTACACTGGTGGATGCAATAAATCTTAACCGTTGGATACACATAAATCAACGATTAAGATGTGGTGTAAAACTTGTTATTTTTACACCGATATAAGTTGATTATATCTATATATATATATATATATATATATATATATATATATATATATATAAATAAGATTAATCATGTGTCAAATCATTTGACATAAGGATTTGTCTAGTCGAAGAATCATAACTATACAAAGATTGATCATTGATGGTGAAGGAAGAGAGAAATATAATATTCATTTTCGATCAATTAAATAAGAAAAATAAATATCCAACACGACGTAATTTTGGGTGACACGATGGTCAAATGACATGACAAATAATTAATATCTATATATATATATATATATATATATATATATATATATATATGCAGGATCCTTTGACACCGGTGTCAAAGGAAAAGTTTGACACCTCATCTTAGAGCCGTTAGATTTAAAAAAATCAATGGTGTCACATGATTACAAATCAGAATTGTTGATTTTTTTTAATCTAACGACTCTCAGATAAGGTGTCAAACTTTTTTTTTGACACCGGTGTCAAAGGATCCTGTCTCATATATATATATATATATATATATATATATATATATATATATATAATGACTTTTGTTTTCATACGTTAGGTCGATATCATATGCTTATTATTTTTGATCTAGTCAACGCAATTTGATTGGAAGGCATGTTACTTGATTCAATATATTATAATAATGATGTTATGAAAAACACAGGCATAGAATATAAGAATATGAATTTCCTACTTGACGTTCATTAATGTTGAGTTAAAATTGATTCCTTATAAGCTTCAAAAGAAAAGTTCCTGTTGATTCCATTAGGTGATATATATGTCCATTAGGCTGAACACTGATGATATATCGGTTGAATTTGGAGTATGCAATGTTCTACAATTGCCGACACCATTTTGCATCCCTCCCTAAAATACTTTGCATTCTCAGTTGTTAGAATCATTAATATTTTGAATCATTTGTTAAATGGGGAGGGTCCAGAAAGTGAAATGTTTGTTCTGTGTGCAGTTCTCATGTGGGCTGAGGCAAAGCCATTACTGCCTTAGCCTTTGATTTTAGGCGAATATAGTGGCACCGCATTGTTGGACTCAAACTTTTCACGGTTGTTAAATAATCTTTTAAGAAATTGTGCAACATGTGAGAGACATAATCTAATATATCTTGATTACGTTCACTTTTTTTTTTTTTTTTTTGGGTGAAATATCACGTTCGCATTAATTTCACTGAAGAAATAAAAAGAAAAAAGTTGAATTCGGCTGGCATTCGCAATTAGGATATATTAAAAGCTCTTTATTTCCAAAAAAAAAAAAAAAAAAAAGCTCTTTAGAATTTAATTAGGAAAATAATTTCCATTTACGTCTACCAATATATAAGTCACATTATTTAATAAATTTATTATATACCTCGTGTGATCGTGTACATAATTAAATTTGGGAAATGATGTATTAATACAATATTTGATAACAATAAAGTAAAAGAACTCTGCGTTAAAATTAAACTATTTACAATTCAATATATTATTGAATTACTGCAGCGACAACGTCAATTTGAAAAGGCTTATTCCTCACCCAAAAAAAGGCCTATTGAATTATATATTGTCTGAAACGTCATTTTGTTGAATAACATATTTTATATTTTTATATTCAAATCTCTAAATGACGATTTTATATATATATATATATATATATATATATATATATATATATATAAGGTCAGGATTTTTTGACACCAAATCTTAACTATTGATTTCTGTTCATCTGACAGCTATAATTTTTTAAGTCACACTTATTAATTGAAATTATAATCATCAATTGACGGAAACTAATCGATAGGATTTGATATTAAACTTTTTAGTTTGACACCGGTATATATATATATATATATATATATATATATATATATAAGGCTTATCGTTTCTCAAGCTACTTGAGATAATTTTATCTCCGACTACTAAATCATAACCGCACAAAGATTGATCAATGGTGATAAAAGAAGAAAGAGAAAAAGAGAATCATAACCATTCAAAGATTAATCAATTAATATAAGGAAATAAATAAACAAAACGATGTAGTTTTGGGTGGCCGAGATAAATATATCTTAAGCTGCTTGAGAAATATTTTTCCCATATTATATATATATATATATATATATATATATATATATATATATATGGGAAAAATATTTCTCAAGCAGCTTAAGATAAGTTTATCTCCGTTCACTCAAAAACTATGTCGTTTTGTTTATTTATTTTCTTATATTAATTGATTCACTTTTGAATGATTATGATTTTCTTTTTCTGTACCGATATGATTTAGTAGCCGGAGATAAAATTATCTCAAACTACTTGAAAAATGATAAGCTCATATATATGATATATATATATATATAGAGAGAGAGAAAAATATTTCTCCGGCAACTTAAGATAAATTTATCACCGGCCACTCCAAAACTACGTCGTTTTATTTATTTATTTCCTCATATTAATTGATTCACCTTTGAATGGTTATGATTCTTTTTTTCTCTCTCTTCCTTTATCACCATTGATCTATCTTTGTACGGTTATGATTTAGTAGCCGGAGATAACTTTATCTCCGACAGCTTGAGAAATGATAAGCCTATATATATATATGGGGAGGGTTCTTTTGACTCCAGAGTAAGACTTTTAAGTCTTACTCCAAATCTCAGCCGTTGATGGACGGAAATCAACGGTTGTCATTAATAGTATAATTAATAATTAATTAATTAATTTAACTTTCTAAATTATAACCGTTGGATGGACGGAAATCAACGGTTATGATGGAGAGTAAGACTTATAAGTCTTACTCTTGAGTCAAATGATCTCTCTCCTATATATATATATATATATATATATATATATATATATATATATAGTTTGTTTTTTCTGCAGTTAATGTAAATAAGTTATCTACATTGAGCCAAAACGACGTTGTTTTGGGAGTAAATGTAGATAAGTTATCTATATTCACTGTAGAAACATTGAAGCCATATATATATATGTGTGTGTTTGTGTGTGTGTGTGTGAGAGAAAGAGATATGATCAATTTACACCAGTGTAAGAATAATAAGTCTTAGATCAAATCTTAGCTATTGATTTTCGTACATCTATCGATTGTAATTTATTGAGTCATACTTATTAATTTATTAATTTTTAATAATTTACAACTGTTAGATACATTGAAATCAACAATTAAAATTTAGTGTAAAATTTATTAATCTTACATCTATGTAAGTTGATCTTGTCCCTGTATGCCAAGATTATTTTTCACCTGTGTAAGTTACACTTTTAATCTTGATCGTTAATTGTATTTATATCTAATGGTTCTGATTAATTAGATATTTGAATCACTAAATAAATCAACGATCAAGATTTAATGTTAGACTTCTTTTTCTTACATTGGTGTCATTTGGTTTATGGGTTATACAAGCTAAGCAAATCAGCAATTAGGCTAAATACTATATCTCAATTCAAAACCTTAAGTCATTTGGTTTATGGGTCCTTTCACTTATATGGTCTCCAATAATAGTGACTTCACTACTTAATTACACTCAGATTCCCCCTCAACTGTTAGTCTTGAAAGACAATCAACCATAGGTTTTGATATCACTATGGGTAACAGGGGGCCCATAATCAGGGAAGATTTCAAATTGACTAAGCAGGATTTCATCATAATAAATGGGCTAAACATCACATCTCAAGCCAAAATCTTAAGACATCAGGTTTATGGATCTTTTCACTTAGTATATTTTATTTTATTTGGTATAAAGTGAGGGTAACCTCATTCAACCTCCTCCCGTCATCTTATACTTGAAATACGACTCTAAAAGCTACCTCTATCATTGAAACAACGAATATATTGAACTTCACCGTCAAAGGAGAATGGGACTAATATTATATTTTTAACCAATATAAAACTTCACTACTTACACTTGTGTTCCATCAGAATTTACGTGATTCTTATGAGAAGGATATGTAGTGTTTGGGAATAGAAAGAGGGAAATATGTGAGATTGGAGACATTTTATTCTAGAAAGTCGGCCATGTTGAGCCCACTCATTGAAAAGATGTATATTAAGCTGAAATCATTTGGTGTGAACTGTGTTTCATTGGTATTGCCATCCTTTATCATATGTCTCGCTCTCCCTTCACTTTTTTTTTCGGTTCAAAAAAGTATATACTCTCTTTGCGTGTCTCTCGGTGGTCAGAAAGCAGCGACGGCCCGCGTAACCAGCATAGACACATACAAGGTCATAAAGGAGCAACTTAATGGGGCAGCTCTTTCAAAAAAAAAAATTAAATAAAATTTTAAATGTATTAATTATAAAGGTTAATTGATCAAAAACCAACCTCTATCGATATCTATTTAATTTAAAGTTGACCACTTTTGCTTCATAAAAAAATGTAAAAAATCTCATGCGATTTTCCTCCACACTTGATGAAGATTGAATTTCAGAAATCATTGATGTCCATTAAGGTTTGGAGCTAATAAGGTTTATGTTTCAAAAAAAGAAGAAGAGACAAAGCAATGGGGTAGGTTTAAGCTTTTAATTATATGGGTTGGTTGAGTTGGCCTTGGACCTATTTTTACTTTTTTCTTTTCAATCTTCCTAATTTTATTTTTTTTACTTGACCTAAATCACCCACTCTTTTAAAAAAAAAAATTCTCAAATTTTTGTGTCTGCATGTGCAG